CGCGCCTCCGACCGAGGTCTCCTCAGAAGGGAGCGGCTGGGACTTCCCCGTCGAAGAGCGAGACCCCGAGCCGTCCGGAGCCGAGTCGCAATCCGAGCATCCCCGTCAGCCCGCGCGCGCGCGCAGCGGCCAGCTACTTGGCGCGACCGACGCAGCCGCGGTGGCGCTGACCGCCGGGGACATCCCAGCGGGCACTTCAGTGCGAGTCGGCGACATGGGCGGGCGCGTCTTCGCGGTAACGTCGACAACTGTAGACGCGGTGATTTGATACTAGCGATGCTGGCGACGGTGCTGGCAGCGACGACAGCGCGGCCAGTGACGGCGCCGATGCTGATCACGCCGACGACGATGAGGGCGCCCTCGCGTCGGCGATGAAGGTTGTGGAAGAAGTTCGAGACACGCGCACGGCAGACGCGCGGGAGTGGCCCGCATGGTATGATTTGACGCGGATCGTGCCACCCCAGCACGCGCGCAAGGGCGCTCGAACGATTTCGACATGCGCGCGCCGCGCGAAGCCCGCTTGGTACAATTCATGAACATTTATTATATGATACTAAAAAACGATGGTTTTCTGAAGAAGTCGCAAGAACGCGAGCGCACGCTTTTTCCGAACACTAGCGTTGCGAAGCCATGTGTCGTTGCATGTCGCGTTTGGACACTCGGTTTCGAATTCCGAACGAAACCGACGGTTTCTGACAGATTTCGGCACGCGCGTGCGACGGGGCGCGCGCGTGCAGTTCGTCCTCTATGTTGCAATGGGTTCTCGCGGCGGCGCGCGCGCAAGGGCGCTGGAACGATTTCGACGCGCGCGCGAGGCCCGCTTGGTAGCATTGTATGACAATGTTGGAGAACACTTGGTTTTCTTCAGAAATCGAGAACGCGCGAGCAAGCTCGTTTAGAACATCAGCGCTGCACAACCATGTGTTTGCATATATTTTGTGGACACTCGATGTTGAAATGCGTGCGACACCACAGGTTTTCAACGGATTTCGGCATGGCGCGCGACGATGCGCGCGCGGGCACTTCGCGCTGTCTTTTGGAAGGAATTCTTGATCTGCGGTAAACGAGCGCACGCGTATTTGTTGCAGAGGATGGCGGGCCGGGGGGGGGGGGGCGATGCCGGCGCGGCTGGAATGGCGCGAACTCATATCCAGTATGGGCGATGGGGCAGAATCGCACGCACATTGCAAAACGGCCCGAAAGGATGGGATAATCCCTGGGGTGGGGGGGAGAATCCGGTCTCTTTTTAGAAAAGGGGATTCGCGATGAGCAAGCAAGCTACATGTGCCACGTATGGTGCGCAATTTGTTGCGCGCTCCACGCGGGGCAATCTATGTCGTGCAATCAAGTGCCCTGCGCCGAGCTTGACCGCCTCCACTGCTCGCGCAATCATCCCGCCCGCCCACCCGCAACGTGGTTTGTAAAACCCATGTGGTGGCGATTGCGATGAGTGCTTGACGTTGCCTGGTCCATCTCCGCGGCCGCGCCGACCCAAGCGCGCGCGGCGGCCAGCACATTTGGCGCGACTGGCGCGGCCGCGGTGGCGCTGACAGCGACGTCAATGGCGGTGGGCGCGGCGATGCGATGCCAGCGATGCTGGCGGCAATGCTGACAGCGACGACGGCGCGGCCAGTGACGGCGCCGATGCTGATCGCGCCGACGACGATGAGAGTGTTCTCGCGTCGGCGATGGAGGTTCTGGAATATGTCCGACGCGCGCGCGCGGCCGACGCGCGAAGCCCCCGCGGCGCCATTCGACGCGGATCGTGCCGACCCGAGCGCGCGCGCCAGGGCGCGCGAATGAGTTCGACATGCGGCGCCAGATGCTCATTTGGCAAAACTCCATGGACATGTTGAAAAACCAATGGCTTTCCCAAGTAGTCGCTCGAGCACGAGCGCGCGCTTCCTTTTCCCGGGACTAATTTTGCGGACGCCGACATCTCCAGAGCGCGAGCGCATGCTGTGTTGAAAACTGACGTTGCGAAAACTGCTGTCGCTGCATGCCGTTTAGAAACTCGGTTTTGGAATCGTTACGAAGCGAAGGTTTTGGAGTCGCAGGCCCGCTGTAGGCGTCGGACGACGACGACGGGTGACGGGCGGCGGACGACGGACGGCGACGACGACGAAGGGGGCGGGGGAGGGGTTGCTGCGCAGGCCCGCTGTAGTCGACCACGACGACGACGACGGCGGACGACGACGACGACGACGACGACGCCTGAGAGGGGGCAACAATCGCCTCGGATGCGCACGACTCCTTTTTTAACAACTTCTGTACGGAAGGCGATAGTTTGGAGGCTGCCATGCCGGGGGGCGCACCGCCCCCTCGGCGGCGCCCGCGACGGCCCCCCGACGCGCGCGATTTAAAACGCGCTTCGCGACCCGCGGGGTCTATCCATCAGCCCCGGGGAAGGGGGGGGGGGTGCGCGTAGGTAAACCGCAAGCTGACATTGCCGCGCGGTCTGCGCGCGCTCAAAATCTAGCATATGGAAAGCAAACGCGTCGTGCCGAAATCGAGAACGCAACGCTTGCCCTGGGTGGAATGTCTGGGGGGCTCTCTGGGCCTACCTTGGGCCCCTAGTCGACCCTCTCCAACAATCTTGAAACTCCCCGGGGTCCTCTTGGAACTCTTGGGAACTCCGTCGGGCAATCGCAGGCCCTTCGCGGGCCGGCTTGGGCTCGCCAGAAAGACAGCTCGAGACCCCCCCCAAAAAAAGGCCCGACCCCCGCGTCGAGAGGCCAGGAATCCCGGGCGGCGGGCAAAATCACTGGGAAAAGGCAGCGCCCGTGGGCACAGAGGCCCAGCTGGGCTCCTCGCACACAGGGCCGAATTTGACTGGAAAGATTGCGACTGCATCTGCTGCGCTCGCTCTTTCCGCGCGCACTAGGCCCAACGCCCTCAAGGCGCGACTCAAGCGAACCCGCGAGGGTGACCGAGCCATCGCGCGCGAGGGCGACAGGGTGCTGATGGGCGAGAAGGGCGTAGATTTGGCCACTCAGCCCATTGCTCCCCGCCTGAAGCCCACCCGAGACCTTCCCTGCAGCAAGGCGGAGCCTAGCCTAAGTAGCGGATAAAATTGCGACCCTGCGGCGGCCTGTCGCGGCGGACATGGATCTCCGAAGGAATGCCATCGACGGGGCTCTTGAATAGGACCCCTCCTTTGGACTGGCTCTCTCCGACGAAGCCGGAGCGGGCGAGGGCGTCGGAGACACTCGAGACCACCTTGCCAGTCTGGGCGCACGCTCGCACGTTGGGTTCTTCGCCACTGGGGCTGCAAGCTGCATCGATGGGAGCGGCTGCCCCCTTCAGGAATGCATCCATCAGGGGCTTCTGGAAGCCGAGCACTACGAGGCGAGTAGCATTGGCATGATTTGGACCGACACTCCGAGACATCTTGCCGCGGCGACCATATTCGCCATTGCAGTCCGAGACTAAGCGGGTCGAAGACCGAGGCCTGGCCACGAAGTGATGTCACCTGGTCCCTGATTTTCGCAAACGCGCCATGCATCATCCTGTCCTGTTCGGCAGTCAAAGCATGAATGGCCTAACTCTGGGGACGCTTGATCTTCATGCGCGGTCAGCGGCCGACTGCTGCAACTGGATGACCTCAGCCTGCTTTATAAATTTAGCGTGTCTGCCCAGAATATGCGTACGAACCGCTCCGAACTTGGCCACCGAAACGCGACGCCTTGCTTCGCGATGGCCATGACGCCATGAAGCTGTCGGGTGAGAGCCAAATTTCTTTCCACGAGCTCGCGAGCTCGTATGTACCTGTGCCCGAGGGCGCGGCAGGCGGCGCCGGCGCGTCGTCCACCAGGGCAGCGCCAGCATCGCGCACGAGCAAAGCCGTTGCGCGCGGCTAGGAGAAGGACAAGGCCGAGCGAAGACGGGGGGCCGAGAGACTGGGGCGGGGGGGATCCAAAATTTCGCAGATCACCTTGGGCCGAAACGGCCTTGAGCCAAAGTGGCTACAGAAGAGAGAGATGATGGTGAAGATGATGATGATAACAGTGGTGATGCTGATGATGGTGATGATGGTAGGTGGTGATGACGCTGATGATGGTGATCATGTTGATGATGACGATGACGATGGAGATGGTGGTGAAGATGATGACGATGGCATGATGATGGTGCGGGTGATGATGCTGACGATGGTGATGACGGAGTTCGCCCCCCTACGGTCAAATGCGATCGATCGCCTAACCATTCGAAGGCCCCGCCGGCCACCGCAGCCCTCCTCTGGCAGCGGAACAGCGGCGAAATGGAACCGAGGATGGCCTCAGTCTCCGCGGCCACCGCGGCAACGCTGATGGCAGCTAGCATCGCCCGGCTCGGGGGTCAAGGCATCCTCTCCCAGCCGGCCGCCGATGCCAATTGTAAAGGCGGCGACGCGATCGCCGTACCGCTGGCGCTTGGAACGCTCCGAGGCGCGCGTCGCCAGATGCACATCCGCAGCTGCACTTCGAGCACCACCGTCCTGATAGGAGCGCACCATGACGATGATGATTATGCTGATGATAATGTTGATGATGATGCTGATGATGATGTTGATGACGATGAAGATGATGAAGATGAGGATGGTGATAATAATGACGATGGCGATGACGATGACGACAACGATGACGACGAATATGACGATGATGATGATGATGGTGATGATGATGATGATGTGAATGATGATGATGATGAAGATGATGATGATGATGGTGGTGGTGGTGATGATGATGATGATGATGATGATGATGATGATGATGCTGATGCTGATGCTGATGCTGATGATGATGATGATGATGATGATGATGATGATGATGATGATGATTGTGCTGATGCTGATGCTGATGCTGATGCTGATGCTGCTGATGATGCTGACGAGGAGGAGGAGGAGGAGGAGGAGGAGGAGGAGAAGGCGGATGAGGATGTGGAGGAGGGGGAGGGCGAGGATGACGGGGAGCAGAGTGAGCAGAGGAAGGCAAGATGCAACCCCCCCTGCCACTCCGCCGCGCCTTTTCGCATATCACGGGAATGCGGTCGGGGTACTTGGCCAAGATTCTTCGGGCCTCCGCGCGGCACATGACAGGCGCTGGCCGGTCCTCATCGTCCTCCTTGCCCACCCCATCCTTTTCCTTGTCCTCCTCCTCCTTTTCCTCCTCCTCCTCCTCCGCTAGGTGGCTCCTTACATGAACACACCACCCTCGCCACCTCACGCACACCGCGCAGCGTGCACACAGATGCGGGCCGCATGCACTCTCATGGGGAGCCCGTGACGGCAGCGTCTGCCCGATCCGCCCGCGATGTCGACGATGAGCGGGCTGCTTGGCGCCATTTGGTATAACCCATGCTCGGCGCTCACAAATGAACGACTTCTCGATATTGTTTGCTGCGTACCAAGCAGGGACGCTTACACGTTGATTGGCACGCAAGCGCGTTCGTACGCCTTGTGGAATCACATCCGTATTGAAGCGTTCTCGGTTCGCTCGCAGCTCTCTCAAGCGTGTGCACGACGCCCAAAAACGGCTTTTGGGGCGATGCGGTGCTATCACAATGCAGTCTGGAGATGTTCTGGAGATGTTTCTTATGGATGTATCGGAGTGTATTTCCCGCCAAGGCAGAAATCGAGAACTTTGCGGCCGATCTACGAGCAGACGATGGAAATGATGATATGTTGGCTAACCGGCGTATTACAGGATATGTCACGACGGCGAACAGTACATATTAAATTTACTGATCTGAATGGTAGTCTCTGCCACAACTCAGAGGTCACGGTCGCTGGACCACACGCTTGCGGAAGAGAATCTACTGCGTCATCACTGCTGCGTCCTGTCCTGGCAGGTTGGAACATGAGCGCCGCCAACATATTCTTCGTCAACCTGCCTTCTTAGATTGGAAATAACTCCGACTCGTACGACTTTCGAGATCGGACCCCGTGATGGAGCAGCACTTCCAGTTTCTATTTCAATACATCCAGAAGATGACCAGAACCCTGAAGTGGGCGGCGCAATCGTATTAGACGAACATTACCGAACGACGCGTCGAGGAGCTCAACCATGCCGTCAAGGCGAACAACAGCTACTTAGTTCAGCAATTTGCCAGGTTGCTTGCTGGAAAGCGACGAGGACCCAAACAACGCAATTTCGCTGCTGTTCCTTCTTCTGCGGCGCGGCATGAAGCTGGAGCATCAGATGGCACTGCCCTCATGGCAGAAGCATTGCGAATGATAGTTGCACCCAGGTCGGTAAACCCTCGGAGGCCACAAGTGAACGCGGACATAGGTTTCGACACGCTAGATTTCCAACCACCTGAAGTCGATCAAGGACGACGTAACCGTGTTCCTCAGATTTGACACGCTGCTCAGGCAGCAAAATTACCGAATGGCAAACAAAAAATTGACGTGGACTGGGAGCGGGTGATAATGATCATGTGCACGGTAGGCCGAACTCTTCATGCGGGGTCGCTCACCAGGAAGCTCGAGGTCGGCGCAGGCGACGTGAATCTGCAATGGGGGTACTCCAATCGCCCACTGAATACATCGCCCCCCAATCGCCCACTGAATCGTCATATCGCCTCCACGCCGCTGGAATCCCTCATCTCCTCCGATGCCATGATGCTTCCAACGCTTGCTTCAGTCTGAAGCATCCTGCCGTGCTCGAGGCTCAGGGTATTCCCCAGCATATACTCGAACCCTGATCTGAAATTCGCTGAGGGCAGATACACGAAAGGAAAACAATCTAGATGAGTCCGAAACATTCTGGACGAGGAACGCCGAGGGCATCCACGCTGGAAACGCAAGCGCCACGCTAGTTTTCACCCGCACGTGCAGCCCCTCTGTCATTGAGAAGATAGCTGACACGTACATGACAGAGCAGTGGTATCGCGCTGTTGAGGTGAACACCCCCTGGGACTCTGAGGACCTCCAGCAGATGTCTCTCACAGGCTTCGTAGATGATATCGCCAACAAGATCCTACAGAGCAACATCGTAGGAAGTACGACACTGGACAAGCTGGAGTCAGGCAGCAAGCTCGAACACGTCTCGGTCGACACTGGCATGAACAGCATCGAAGCCTTGCATAACATTAGCTAGCAGGAGAACGTAGCGTACATAAGAGGAGCTAGAGCGCACATTGTAAGCATTGTGGTCCACAAGCCGAAAAGCAACATAGCAGGCAAAACGATGCATCATTGTAGATCTCTAGGTGGACTTTAGTCGAATACATTCACGCCAGCCCCAGAATCAGCGAAAAGACGTCGGGCCCTCCACGCGGCCTACTATTTCATAGACAAGTTCTGGATCACTAAAGGCGTCGTATTCAGGGTCAAGAGGCCCAAGCTCGAAGGTCTTCTCGGCACCACCGCACTCAGCGGACAAAAGGTAATCGTAAAAGGCACGGGACCGCTCACCAGCAGCGATCTGGCCACGCTGGAGTCCTTCATTGTGCGCAGAGGCCGTGCGGTTCTTGGAGGTACAGCTCAATGGGATGGTACTGCCAAGCATGTCGTCAACTGCCCTGCCAATGACGTTTTGAGAAAGCTTCGCGTAGCACCCCTGCACCTCGTGCGCAGGATCATTATATTGAAGTGGCTACAGAACATGTTCAGGGAACGCGACAACATTCGGCAGCTTTTGGTTACCTGCTTTGGGAGATCCCCGATATATGGTGCTGTATTTACTGAGTGGAGCTATACGCGCTCACACTCTTCCATGGGCGCGCCAGAGACAACAAGACGTTCTAGCACTTCGTGACATCCAAAATGAAAATAGCATGTGGTAGTTGGGTGGGCATTTATTTAGCGTGAGAGTCGAGAATGTCGAGCATTTCATTAATATCGGATTCGACGAGCTACAAGCAAACTTTTTTACTTCGGAAACCCCTAACCCAAGAGGACACCAGGATGCTAGATAAGCGTTCATATGTCATGAGCTACTGGAGGACGGGACGAGATGTAACAGTAGGTGGTCCACCAAACATGCCGTAACTAAACGCATCGCAAAACACGATCGGCGGCACGCACGGCACACGAAACATCGCACGCATCCTGACGATCACCAACAGCTGCCCTGACTGTCACTGCACGTTTCGAGATGAATATGTTGTCGAACAACACGTAAATGCGAGGCCTTCGGAGACAATGCAGTCCCGCTAATCGCGTACGTTTCGAGGACAAAATCATTGTGCCGAGTACGATGGCGTGACCGATATGCGAATAATCATTCGACGACCTGTCTCTCTGGCTCAATCATGTTCGGGAACATGTAGCTGCGCTACTGCAATCCGACTTCTTTTACATACGCGAACCTCGTGGCAAGTTTACTTCTGATACCCGGTCTGCGCTGAAGCTCGCAGTGTGCAATTGGACAAAGATCTACGCTGAGGAGTGGGTCCCGCAGCTTGTGGGATCCGAACATGGGAGACGACGAAGAGAAGGAGCGGAGGACAACGCCCAAGGGATGGTACGGGACAGGTCTTAGAGCTTAACGGCAGCAGGATCACACCCCAAGTCAGCCAGACTCGAAGCGACGAAGATGAAGAGACAGACCAGGAGATGAACAGTATCATGCTGGCGCTGATCGTTCAACCCGAAACGAGGGTCCGACTTCTCGAACACGAGTCGGTGAGCACGGCCATCATACACCGCAAGCATCAGATCGTGACCGACGGCAACATGTCATATCAGAAGCTCGTGAAAGCTCGCAAGGAGGACCGGGCGACGGACTTAGGCTCACCAGCCTCCCAAGTGGCCTACAGCGCTCTGATCGTCTTGAAAGATAGGCCCTTCAAGGACACCTCGACCAGACGCTCCAAAATGAAGTTCGCGATAAAGCTGCTCGTCGCCATGATCAAAGCGTCGGACTGAGATATCGCCACCACGTGGATCAAAACGACGCAGCAGCATTCCCGACGTTCGACAAGCCAGGGCAGCCCCAGAGCAAATTCAGATTCGAGTTCCTGGGGCAGATACTAGTTCCCGGCGAAGAAAGCCCACGCCAGAAGTTGCTAGCGGCGACGCAACAAGTGGATCACGCTCTCCACCTCACGAGCCCCATCGAGATGCCCTCCGAATGTGAGCGTTTTGTAATTCGGCATTTCGACATTGGGCGGAAGGGGGGGGGAGGGGGTCTGGCTCCGGACCTCTGCTTAGTGCGACTGTTTGCGACAGTGGGTCCTACGGGGGAGGGACTCCACCTGCTCGAAACAGGCGCCAAAAACAGCCACGATCCACTCCAGGGGGGGGGGAGGGGTGATGCGAGGGCCCGCGCCGATCGGCAAAACAATGAATACAAAACGATTACAATTCCTGAAGATCAAAGGTACCATGTTCGAGGTCGAGGCCCTGGTAGGGGAACCGATCAGGCACAACGGCGGCAAACTGACCATGAGCAAAGCACCTCGCTGTAATACTTGTCAGAAGTAAGCGTGGAGGCGTGGCAACTCCGAGTTTGGGCCACCCCACAAGACGGCGGTAAGTGGCGGCGCGCGGTGCAGTGCGAATCTGTTGTGCACGGCAGCACTCGGCGCCGAACACGTGGGATGCCTAGAGATTGCCACAACCTCCCGCGTGTCAGAAAGTGTCCACTCACGTAAGTTTGCCCGGTAGTTACCTCCTCTTGGGCATCAGCTTGGAGCAAGCACAGCTTCGAGATTGGATGGTTTTCACTGATGCATTTCTTTCGTGGAAAGCTCTGCTGATCGCGCTGGCCTTCACTGGCCACATGATCGAAGCCTTCAACAACAACGAGAGTGGAGCTTCCTTGTAAGATTCAGGCATTTTGCCGTCATCGCTCCTCGTCGAAACCCCCCGACTGTGTCCCTGGTCGCGCTCTCTTGGCGAGGGCCCTGGATGACAGACAGATGCAAAGAATGAGTGGTTGCAGATTTCTCTTATGCGATTCTGATCATCTACTGCAAGGCGCCGCGCTTGCCGTCTTTTGTGTGACGTAGGGCTGGGAGTGTAGTGAGAGCCGTCCTCGCCTCTCCCCCGATCTGGAGTGCCCCCCCGTTCGGCCAAGTGGTGGACGGCCAGGCTCCTGTGCAGCGACCTTTTAGTTGCAGGGTCATCTGCCACTCTTGCGAGCGCACGGTGCTCCCAACGGAGCTGCGAAGTAGACGGTTTCTCGCAACAAGTCGGTTTTTACCCCCCCAAAGTTCACGAACACGGCTTGTGAGTTCATCCACCTCCAGAACTGTCGTCGTCCTCCTCCGCCTCCTCCTCCTCATACCCCCCTTCCGCTCTTCAAGGGGTCTCCCCGACAACGGAAGACCCCCGCCCTGCCGCAGATCAAACATGGCGCGACGACATTCCAGCGAAATCGACACGTGCTCGTGCGCCCGCGACGACGAAAGGCACCTCCCCTTGCTCGTGCGCGCCCGCGCCCCGCCCGTGACCGTGGGCCCGCGCCTGTCCGCAAGTCCCTCTGGGCCAAGCGAGGGCCCGCGCGGCCGGGCCCCGACTCCCGTGGAGGGGGGGAGGGGGGCGCTGCGTGCGCCTGCGACTGCAGAGGTGGCAAGCAAACATTTGCCGCGGTCCATCCCCTTCCCCACTGAGGGCGTGCTTCGTCACCGTGCCTGCTTTCCCCCGCGTGCAACGCGCGCGCCAGTTGCCCGCGGAGGAAGCCCACCTGCGTGTGAAGAAGGGGGCAAGGGGCCTCTGGCGCATCCCCTTAATGCCTGGCACAATATGAAGGACTCGCACATGCAATGCGGAGGCGCCTCGAAAAGGGACGGGGAAAGACTCAGAAGAAGGAGCTGAGTGCCCCCACCTGAGGGGGACAAAGCAGCGAGGGCAACTTCAAATTAGCATGCATTATGCGATGCCCGCCAAACTATACTCAACATCGGTCCTTGCAAAACTCGACACCCGAAGGACCGCGATTCTCCCGTCTGCGCTCCTCTAGAAGACACCAGTGCAGGTCGACTCTGCAACCGCGCTGAGAAACAATGGTTCAACCTCGTCGCGACCCCGAATCCTAAGACAAGGAGCCCTTCGAGCAAACGCCAATGCACGACGTCGTAGACCGTGATCCATGTGGCGCCCTCCGGTTCCGAAATTGCTTGTGACCTTCTCTGGACCCGCGACCCCTCGGATACACGCTTCTCTACGGCAACTGCGCCTCCGCCCATCGCTGCGCCGAGCGGCATATGCTCGAAGGCCAAGGCGGCGAAGGTGGCGCGACCATCGGTGAGTGCTGAGAGTTCGTCGAGCGGTCATCCTTCTGGTGGTGTGGCCGTGTTCTTCCTGCAACTGCTCGGCCACGCCCAGAATCTCTCTGACATGGTTGGCTGGTTTGCCCCATATTCTCTGACGCTCGTAGATATCAGACCTGCCGGGGTACATGCGACTCATCGCGACCCGTATAGACCTCGACGACTGGAGCCACTTCTCGGCGGCCCATGGGGGCCGCTGAAGAGCCTTCGAATGCATTGTCAGGGAGGACTGGAGCGAAGAGCGTGGAAGGAGCTGGTATGCGGAATAGGCGGCAGGGCGGATCCTACGGAGAAGGAGGAGGTAAGCTGGCAGGATCTGCGACTGTCCTGGAAGGTCTCTCCTCTTCCTTTTCCGAAAGAGCCTGGGCTTGGGCGAGCCCACCGATCCCGTGGTCCGCGTGTTCCACCGACCACGCCGTCATCTGCACAGGCAGGTTCGCGCAATCACAATTAGCAGGCGCGGGCACGAACTACACGCCAGGACAGAGCACGCAACGCTCCACGAATGGCGGCACGACACCGGCGACCGTGTACATAGGGCGTCCACGGCACTGTATGCGCTGGCACAAACAGGTCTGCCTGAGGGCAAGGCGCCTGAAGCAACATTGCTATTGAAGAAGGAAAGATGAGCGAGGGGAAACGATAGTGGGGGACTGGCTCCGAGGGGAAACATCAAGCTGGAATCGGCGATACATCGCCGATAGATCGGCGAGGCCCCGACACCAGAACCCAACGTTCCTGGGCGGGGTGGGCTATCGGGCCCCTCTCCCATATCGGCGACCATTGGGCGATTGGGGGTCGATGCACCCCCCTTGCGCACATCTCCCCATAACGTTGCCCCAGAGAGAGGACAAGGGGCGGAGGAACCGGGGGAGTGGAAACCAGGGCCAGCGCCTGGCACGTCGAGCGTCCGAGGACGCGGACCACGCGCCACCCTGCGGGGACCATCTGAAGACATCGGAACAGCCTGACCAACCAGGATTGCGAGAGCCTCAGCAGAGCCGTGCAAAACGACCAGCGCTAAGCCCGTGAGAAGGAGGAGGAGGGGGAAGAGGACGACGACACGAAGGCGCGGACAACGGCGGCGGCGGCGACGGCAGCAGCCACGACGACGGCAGCTGCGGCGGCGGGGATGGCGGTAGCAGGGGCCAGCCTCCGCACTGCGCTTCTCGAAGGGCACCGAGTCGGTCAGAGGACCGGCGGCCATGGCTGCTGCCACCCAGACCAGGCGCGTCCAGACAGCAACGGCTGGACGAGCTGTGCTCCAAACGGTTGAAGTATGGCCAAAACAACGCGGGTCAAAAACATATGAACACTGGTATATGATCCTCGTGCTACCATAAGGGACTCCGAATCAAGAACGAAGAATCTTGATGGCCACGGCGAACTTCGGCCACTGATCGAAACCAAATAGCGGCCCGCAAAACAGAGATCCTCCTGCGCTCAACATGGTCTTACATCAGTATCAGCGCGGGCCTTGACTACACCCTAAACGAAGAAAGCTTTCAAACATGTAGACCTCATTCGCCGGCCCAACGGGCCAGAGGCGTGCTAAGATCTCCGGTAACTGGTTAACAATTCTCTAGTTCGCGCGCGCGGGGCGGCCCTTGGGGGTCCCCGGACGAAAAGTACCCCGGGCGATCCCCGACCGATCCCCGGGAGACTCCCCCAGAGCGCTCCAGGAGCGCTCCATGAGCGCACCAACAGGCCTCCGAGACGTCCCCGAGAGCCCCAAGAAAGGCCAAGAGGCCCCCAAGAGGCCCCCAAGATGGTACACGAGGGGTCCGACATGCCACAAGATCGCTCCAAGACGCCCAAGATAGCCCCCAGACGCCCCAAGAGGCCTCCAAGAGCACTCCCAAGAGGGCCCCTGGAGGCAACATTCTTTGTTTTTTTCGTGAGGTTTTTGAAAGATTTTGGAGCTTCCACCTTTTCGGTTTCCTGACGCCCCAAGACGGCCCAAGAGGCCCCCAAGATCGCTCCAAGAGGGCCCAAGAGGCCCCCAAGAGGGCTCCAAGATGGCCCAAGAGGGCTCGAAGACGGCCCAAGAAGCCTCCAAAACGGTCCAAGAGGGCCCCAAGAACGCCCCCAAAAGGGCCCCAGAGAGGAAACACGAAACAACATTTCGAGCCCTCGGCCCTACGAAGCCCCTACGAGGCCCCTGGCCCCGAGGATGCACAGCAACTCCCTGCGCAGCAGCAGCGCCCATGTGATGTGGCCGGTCAGAACGCGCAGCAGGAAGCCGCCGATGACCTGCCTCCTGAGCGCGGCGCGAATGGCCGCGCGCAACCGCCAGATGTTGCGCGTCTTGAGGCTCAGCCAGCGCCCCTCGCGCAGCGATAGCCCCAGAAAGTCACGATCCTGGGAGGGCGCCTCGAGCTCGTGCACGGTGAGCCCGCGGCGCGTCAGGTCGTCGGCGATGGCCTGCAGCCGCTCGCTCGCAGTCTTTGGAGAGCCGCCGAGGACGAAGTAGTTGTCCACGTAGCCGGCGCCCGCGACCGAGTCCAGGTCGCTCGTGAGCTGGCAGCCGCAGCGGCCGTCAAGGATGAGGCCACTCTGAGGGAAACCAGCGCGGCCCAGCGATGCCCCCAGCACCGTCTGGCAGAGGTGCAAGGCCCAGCTGAAGCCCATCGGCAGCACCACCACCTGGGGCAGCAGGAGCGACTCGCCCTCCACCCCGCCCACGGCGACCCCGTACGGAGCGAGATGCTTGGCGGGGATGGGCGGCAGCACGTTAACTCCTCCATCCCGTCCGAGACCCGCATGTGGTAGAAGGCCACGTCCAGGTCCGCCGAGGCGATGGAGACCCGCACGTCGCCCGTCTCGAGCCGCCCCCAGGCGGACGCAGACGGCAGCTGGGTGCGAGGCGCATCCACGAACGCGCAGTTGGCGAGCCGCGTGTCGAAGATAACCCTCGGACGACCACTCTTCCTTGGCACGAAGAAAATCCCCACGTTGCCTCGGCGCCCTCGCGCCGGGGCAAACGTCGGCATGCTGCGCTCCATCACGGCGCTGAGGAAGGCGGCGTAGTCGGGCAGCGAGCGCAGCAGCGCAGGGTCCGCGCACGGGCCGCGCGGGCAGGCCTCCGCCCGCAGCTGCCGCGCCTCCTCGGGCTCGCGGAGCATTTGGCACCTCCACTCCCGCAGCGCGGCTGAGTCACGCTCGCCCAGCAGCCCAAGGAGCGGGGCGGGCGGCTGCGACACATCAGGCCAGGAGACAAGGTCTGGCACGTAAGGAGTGGCGGGCCCGCCGCCGTCAGGGCACAGCGCGGACCCAGCAAGGAGCTCCCGCAGGGCCCCGTTGTTGTCGGAGACGTCGTCACGATACTCAGGTGGCTCAGGGCCCAGAGCAGCGACCGAGTCCCAGATGTGGGCGGCGGCGCAGCGCTGCCCGGCAGACGGCGTCGGCGCGGGCGAGGACTGGTCGCCGTAGAGGTCATTCAGAGCATGCGCGGCAGCATTGGCACGGTCCAGCGCGCGCGCGAGGGCATGGCCGGCCCGCGCCCGCCGCCGAGTCCCTGACGCGCGGGGCACCACGTCAGCAGCAGCCAGCGGCGGTAGCGGAAAGATGCCCCGCTGCCGGTCGTCGTCCTGCCGCCGGCGCCCTGCGCCGCCAGGGGAGAAGCCCGCGCTGTTGGCGGGCTCTGCGGGGGCCAAGGGTGGCGGGGGCGGCGGCTGGCCAGGCCAACCGCCCCGGGGCGAGTCAACCATCGCCCCCTGCGGCGTTGGGCCCGCCGCCACGGCCGCTGCGGCCGCCGCCGCGCCCCCCCCTCCCGCGCCCTGCGCCAGGCTGGCCGGGCACGCCCCCGGCGAGGGCGCGCTCCTCTCGCGCCTTGCGCCTCTCCTTCGCCACCGCCATCTCCCGCTGCAGCTCCTGCGCGAGGTGGTCGCGCAGGTCCGGGCAGACGCGCGCCGCCCCGTCGAGCTCCTGCGACCCCATCATGACCGCGCGGTCCGCCGCGCCGGCATCACCCGGGGTGACCAGCTGGCGGTAGCGTTCCTCCTGCACCTGCACTGAACGGGCCACGAGCTCGAGGTGGGCCAGGTTCGTGGCCACGGCCGACTCCAGCACCATGCACCCCATCTGGTGGATGTCCACCCCCGGCGACTCAGGGTCGAACCCTGTCTCAGAGATCATTTTTTTATTCCGGCCGGTAACGCTCGTTACCCGGGGGGGGGGGGGTCGTGCCCCCCGGGTAACGGTAACGCTTGGGCTGGGCGGGGTATGGCGAAGCAGGGGCGCTCTGCGATCGCCATAGTATGCGCGCGAGCAGCACTCTCTGCCTGAGAGCACCACAGTGGCTTGCGATTCGAGTACAAGCGCAAAGCCCGCCGCGTGGTCCCGGCACCACGCCCGCGCCCGCGCGCGCGACGACGATGATCGACGAGCGACGAGCGACGAGGTCGACGACGACGACGACGACGTTTGCCGCCTGTTTCGGCCTCCGGAGGCCGTTTTCGGGCGCCGTCGACGACGACGACGACGACGACGACGACGACGACGACGACGACGACGACGACGACGACGACGACGACGACGATTCGAGTACAAGCGCAAAGCCCGCAAGCACCAGCATCGCGCATGCGAGCGCCGCAATGGCCTGCGAGCGCCCACAGTGCGCCTGCGACCACCACACCACAGTGCGCATGCCTTCGGGCACCAGCATGTTGGAGGGGAAGACCGAGACCCCCCCCGCGTACGAGCGTTACCGTTACGGGGGGGGGGGGGAGAGGCCCGGGTAACGAGCGTTACCCCCCAGAGGATAAAAAAACAATCTCTCAGCTAGCCACCGCTGGTGGTGGGCCGTCGGGGTCCCCGACCTCTGGGCCATGTACTGCAGCACCCACAGCAGCGTGCGCGGTCCGCGCACTGGCCAGTCAGGCCAGGGGAACTCGACCATCTGGGAGACCATGACCCGGAAGTCGGCACGCCGCACTCCTCGCAAGTCCCTCGCGACGGCGAAGATGCGGGCGTCGCCGCCAGGGCCGGCCTGGGCGCCGCCAGCCGGCACGCCCGCGGGCGCTGGCACTGCGGCGGGCGGCGCGACGCCGGGGGCGGCGGCCGCGGCAGGCCCAGCTGGCCCAGGGGCCAGCATGCCGAGCCCAGCAGGCGGCACGGGGGCCCCCCCTGCGACAAGAGCCGCCGGTGCGGCTGCAGCAGCGACTGGAGCCGGCGCCGGGGCGAGCGCGCCACCAGCAGCGCCGCCCGCAGGACCTCCGAGCGCAGCCACGAGCGCGGCCACCCCGCCGCCCTCCGGGCCTGGCGCACCGCCCGCCGGCAGCGCTAGGGCGCCCGCAGGCGCCGCCGCAGGAACTGCCACGGCGGGGGCACGCCCGGCGACGTTGGGCACCACGGGGCCAGCGGGCGCCGCGAGGCCCAGGCGGGCGCAGGCGCGGCCGGCGGCAGCGGTGAGCGCCGCGACCGTGGGGATCGCCCTGAAACGATAATACCTCGCCGCCGGCGCCCACGGGAAGACCCCGCCAGGCGCCCCGCCGGGCAGCAGGTCGCAGTGGAGCACGTCCGCGTTGCCGACCACCTGCTCGTCGTACTCGTCGCCGTAGACCGTGACGATCGCCGCAGTGCCCGGGGTGCCGGGGTCCAGGGCGACCACGACGCGCTCGTGCACGAGCGCCCTCCCGCCCACGTTGTATTGGATGCCGAGGAAGTCCCCGACGGTGACGCCCGCGGCGGCGAGCGAGCAGTGGGCTGGAGGACCAGGAGCCGCCATCACTGGGCAGCGAGGGCACGCTGGCGCAGCACCTTCACCTGTGCGCGGGCCTCCTCGCCCAGGTCGTCGATCTCGAGGTCACGCCCCGAGCGCAGCCACGCACTGGCGTAGCCCGCGAGCCGCCGCAGCGCCTGCAGGGCCACCACCGCCACCACCGCCAGGAGCGCGCCGGCGAGCAGGCCAAGGGCGAACCCGGCCCCGAAGCCCCGGCACTCTGCCGAGGCGGGCGATGGGCAGGGCCCAGCTGCCTCCGGCTCGGCCGCCGCGTGCGGGGCCACCGGGCACGCCGGGCACGACAGCTCCGGCGAGGCGCCGCAGGTCAGCGCCGGGCAAGCCGGGCAGGCCGGGCAGGCCGGGCTGGTCGGGCAAGCCCCGCAGCGTGGCTCGCAGCGGGCGTCGACCGCTGGGCACGCCGGGCACGATGGGCACGCCGGCGGCCGCGCCAGCCAGGCCGCGCCGATCTGCCCCAGCCACGGCGCGGCGAGGCGGACGGCGCCGAGCATCCGCAGTGGAGGAGGTGGCGGAGAGGCGCGCCCCCAAAACTTCGAGCCATATATGAGTACGTCCGACCTGCTGCCTCTGCTCAGCCCTCAGTTGTGAAAACTAACATATATATATATATATATATATATATATATATATATATATATATATATATCGAATCGGATCGATCGGATCGACATAGAACCTGGACAGCAGGGAGAAGATGGCACGAGCATAGATGATTAGGGAATATGTGAGAGCTGTCGGACATGGAGGATGTATCAGGCAAAGGAGCGATCGTTCCAGATCTTTATGGAAAGATGAATATTTTTCCAAGGCCTGCCTGGCCTCTCATCGTCGTCGTCCTCCTCCCCATTCGGGAACGCGCTGCTAGGGACATGTCGCCAAACCTGACAGTAATTCCCGAACCTTGGTCAACGGAGGGAGGCGACGGCGTGCGGGCCCCGCGTGGTTCCCCAAACCCTGGCCGGCCAGGGGGGCATCAGAATGGATCGGCTGACCCCCGTTGGCGCTGACCCCACCGACATGCGCCCCGATACCCTCCAGCTGGCCATCGGGAAATAGTAGATCGGGCCAGAGGCGGCCGCTCGGGAAGATCCTGGCATCCCAGGAACGCCCTTGGCCAGGCGCAGCTGATGGAGACCACCTCAGGCCTCCGAAAGCATGAGAAGGTCTGATGCAACACAGAGGCCCGCGCCTCCCCAGCGCGGATCCCCTCCCCCCCCGCGTGCGCCGCGACCGTTTGTGATACCAGCCGCCCGCGCGTCTCGCCGAGGCCGAGGCGCCCTCCGCTCAGGCGGCGCGGGCCTTCCTCTCGCGGCCGCGGTCGCCCGGTCGACCCCCGCGACGGGCCGCCCCTGAGTAGAGCCCACCTCAGAGGTCTCTTCTGGGCATCTGGGCATCTGGGGGAGGGGGGAAAGTGGGGCGAGGGGCCTCCCTCCTCGCTCCTTCCGGAGCGTCCCTCCTCGGTGCTCTGCTCTCCTCCACCCCCTCTCTGCCCCCTCCCCCTCTCCCTCCTCCTCCCTCTCCCTCCCCTGAACTATGAGTGTTACTACTCCTTCTCCCCTGAACGTGTGCGTTTAGGGGGCCTCTCTCTCCCGCGTATGGTTTTTCCGCAGCATTGCCACATCTTCCAGGCGCGGGCGCCTTAGCATTCGCAGCGTTGTTGGTGGTTCAAAGTGGTGTTAGTGCAACAGCGATGGCCTCATTTCAGGATCGGCGCGTTGCTCCAGTCGTCCACTGGGGGAGGGGCCGAGGGATCTGCGTGGACAAGACATCTTGAAACAAAAAACGATGTTGGAGGTCTGAACCGGGAGAAATGGGACACAGCCCGTGTTGGGAGCTTGAGGGCCCAGAGGGACGACCACTCAGACTGGCCCAGAAGGCAGAAACGATTATCAATTAAGCCAACGTGAGAATTTGTTCAGCCTCCTTCGTCCTCTCCTCTTTCTCCTCCTCGCTGTCCTTCGAGAGATCCACGACTTCATGGCCTCCAGGCTCGGCCTTGACGAGGTTCCCTCATCTGGACCCTGCCCCGTGTCCGGTGCCAGGACGTCGACCAGTGGACTCGCGCTGTTTGGATTATCCTCCCGCGACTCGGCTGAATATCTGGGGAAGCGGCGGGCACTTGATAGGAGGAAGGGCGTAGGTACCCAACGACCCCGACGAATCGGGGGAGTTGTTTAACTGCTTGAGTGGGAATGCGAATTGGGTGGCACCCTGTCAGCTGGTGGTGCACTTCGAGAGATCAAAAAAATGATGTATGACCCACTCCTGAACTGCATCCTGCTACTGGATGGGCTGGTGGCGGGGCAACGACACTACGGCGGAACGCCGGGGTGGCCTCGGACGGCAACAGGGGCAGGTAAAAAAGGGGAAACGCAGGCTTGGCATCGCTCGGGCGTGTGCGTTTTACTTCCACAATCGAATCGAAGAGCATCCTGTCCAGCCATATCTTTCTCCCTCTTCCAAACACGCTTCCCTGCGGAGAATGGTGTTCCCCCCCTCCCCTCCCTGAGGCTTGTTCGGGGGGGTCACGAGGTTTCGGGGAGTCCCTTTCGCCCGAGATGGCTCCAAGAAGGCCTCCGATGCTCCAAGCTGGCGTCCAAGGCGTCTCAACATAGCCGACTATGGTTCAATATAGCTTCCAGCTTACTTCCAAAAGGCCGACGAGGGCCACAAGACGGTTCCAAGTGTTCCCGGAGTCCCCAGGACCCCCACCAAGATGCCAAAAACAGTCAAACTTTCAGAAAAACGGATGAGCTGTGCCTTCTCGCCCTTTCGCTTCCGATGCGCTTTAGGAGCCTCACGGTGGCCCCGAGATGGCCCCAGAGAGACCGCCCAAGAGAGGCCCACGAGGCCTCCTAGACGGCCCCCAAAGAGACCACGAGTGACCCAAGAGCGCCCGAAAGGACGATGTTGATGGTCCAGGGGGAGAAGTTTAGGGCCCCCCCTTCTTTGATCGACGCCCTACGAGATGGCCCCGACAGGCCTTACGAAGCTCCCAAGAGAGCCCAAACACGGCCCCAAGAGCGCCCAAGGAGGCCCCAAGGGCGTCCAACGAGGGTCCCAAGCGGCGGCGCGCCTCCTCCTTTTCCTCTTCCTCCTCTTCCTCCTCCTCATCCTCTTCCTCCTCCCCCTCAATGAACTGATCAAAGCCAACGGAATCTTTGACGGCAATGAATACAACACTGATTACGAAAGAGAATATCATTCTCACAGCGCGCTCGGTCTGACTCAAGGGCCCTGCCGCAAGCCAGGGCCGAAACGGTTGCGGGCTCGCGCTATACAGCGCACGCGCACGAGCATGCACAGTATATGTACAGCGTATATATCACACCCGTGAAAGTGTGAAACAAATGAAACAAAGAGAAACCTTCCTTCAATATGAAATAGAACAAATTCAAATAAACATACCTAAGATTGTATGAACGAAAGACATACAAAAACGGCACTATAATACGTGATGGCGTGTAACGAACTCAACGCTACAATATACAATACCGAAGTATCGCACTGCCTGTAACTAATTCTCAAAAAACTACACTCGTAAACTCTCGGGCGGCAAGCAAATCAAAACCGCAACGAAGAAATAATAAACTTAGCTGTGAGCCTCACTTGTGAGCTCGAAACCCTTCCGTCAACTCTGGCTCGGTCGTCACCTCGCCCGCTCTGTGAAAACCCTGCGTCTGATGCTGAAGCCCCCATGCGTCTCCGGTGAGCTTGTATGTCGTGGTACTCTGCACCCCCACCGTCCTGGCCGCGCACAGATCGTTCGACGAAACGCCGCGCTCGTCTCTTGGTGGTTCCTTCTTTTCGCTCTCCTTCTCGATCCGCTCCTTCGCGGCCTTCGCCCGTAGAACCGCCAGCTCCGTCTTGCATGCGCACTCAGCCCCCCTGGTCTTGATCAGGTAGGATGCAACAGGGTAGGCCCCACATAACCCAAGAAGTGCAAACAACATGGCAAACCAGATTGCAATACCATGGCTGTCGTTCTCGCCCTTCATGTCGCAGCCTGAACGGGCCGCCGATCTGCAACAGCAAGTTGCGAGCACTGCCAACTGCATGAATGGTGCCGTCGCCTTCCGCGTCGCCGCCGATGTCACCGGCCTCGTCTGATCTATGCTCTCCTGTCGCTCTTCCTTGGTTTTCTTCTTCGCCGCCGTGTAGTTCGGGTCGTGCTTGAGCTGTAGCCTCCCATATCGCAGACGGTCGGCGAGGAGCTGTCTCGCCGCGATCTTCGCTAGCCCGCCCGCGTACTGCCTCCCTGAAGATACCCACCTCCAGCGTGTCATTGTAGCCTCCATCCCCTCACGCAGCGCTGGCGCCTCTATGCCGGTCCGCATGTCCTGGGAGCTAGCGGCGCTCTCCTTCTGGGCCGCGTCGCAGAGCGCCTTCGCGTCCACACCTACAGCTGACCCGCCCGCCATGTGAGTGCGTTCGCCCTTCGTGATGCCCACGCCGTCGTAGATCATGGCCGCCCAGAACCGCTTCGCAAACTCCAAGCCGCCCATGCCCGCTGCTGCCGCCTGTGACTCCGCATGTAGGAAGGAACGTGCCATGCGCAGTAGCTTGAAGGAACTTCCAGTCGATCACGCTAAAGTCGGACTCGTGTCCGTCGTATATCTTCCTGTGGCATGCCAAGATGACGTAGCCACCTTGACTGGGCCCTTCTTGTCGAACTCCCCAGACTGCGTCCGTCATTGCTACGAACACGAAGTCGCACACCTGGCCGATCTTCTCCATCTTGAGCCCGACGTCCGAGCTCTGCTTGTAGAACCGCAGCGTCTTGTTCGCCTCCTCGGCCGTGCCCGCCGTTGCCGTGGGCAGTTGCCCTCGGTGGATGCTGGCCGAAGCCGAAAGGCGAGGGCACGCCTGAGAGCTTGGCCACTGCAACGCTCCGAGTAGGCCTCGTAGCTGCCGCTTCTCCTTGATAGTGAGCCCCCTCGTGTTGTCGCTGCTCTTCTGGTCGATCGTGATGGGCTTCACGTTCTTGGCGTAGGTCGCCATCTTCGCCTCAATCTCGCTGCTGTTCGACTTCGGGTTATCCCAGTGCGGGGTCTGCGTCACGTCGCTGCCGCAGTAGTCCATCTTGTCATCTCCGATCCATTTCCTGAACTTGAACTTCCGCTTCACCTCGGTGATAGCCCGATTGTAGTCACTGCCCGGCCGCCGATCTCCACCTCCCAGCATATCGTCCACGTAGAGTAGACTGAACCCGTCACTGTTGCCGTCCTCATCGAAGCTGAGGAACACGCAGGGGTCCAAAGGATGCTGCTTGAGACCGCTGGCCCTCAGGTCGTCTACCGCGCGTAGCCACCCACGCCTTGGTGCGTCCACCTGGCCGCACACTGGCTTAATGAGCTTCATGAGAGTGTCCGGCTCGATGCCCATGAGCTCTGCCGCATCTGTGGGCACCTTCGCGTATAGCTCACGCTCTTGGGGTCGTCCTTGAAGAAATGCAGTAGCTACGTCTGCTGTCCACAGCCTCCAGCCGTTGTTAGCCGCCAGTAGTAGTGCCATCTGTCTTGCCAGTCTCGATGCTGTAGGCGATGCCGTCGGTACTGCGCTGCTAAGTGCGTAGGGGTCGTTGAAACCTTGCAGTACCAGCCGCGCCATGGCACGTGGTGTGCCATCGTCGTTCTTCGTCCACTTGATCACCCACTTCGCCATGAGTATCCGCCGAAAGTCCTCCTCGCCGGTGAGCTTGTGAAACTCCCAGACGTCACTGCCGAAGAACTCCGTCAGATCCTTCCGCTTGCCCCGCATGAACGCCGCGCGCTCGTGGGGCGTCATGTTCCTCGTGCTGGTCTCCACGAAGATGTCGCTGAGCTTCGCCTCCGTGCCGTCGACCTCCCAGCCGAATGGCAAATCCTGACTGGTGACCATCAGCTGTACAGCTGCGAGCTCGTCGTCAGCATCGTCGAGGCCCGGTACTGGTACCGCGCTGCTCAGTCCAGGGTCGGGTAGAGTGCCTCTGAAGACTCCTCCTCAAGGTCTGGTGAAAATCGCCGCCTCTGCTTTGTCCATCATGAGCCGCTTTTTCTGAAGATTCGAGATAGGCCTCGACTGCGTCTGTGTCGATCCGAGCTCCTGCTCCGATGATGGTGCTGCCGCCGCTGATGGCGATGATGCTGCTGGCTGCGCTGTCTGCGTTGGCTGTGCAGTCTGTTGAGCTGCTGGCTGCTCTGGCTCTGGTGGGGGTGCCGTCGGCATCGGCTCTTGGTCTGGCTGACCAGAATTCGACGTCTGTCGACTGCCGTCGGGCACTGGCGCCTCCGCGTCTGGAAGATCCTCCGCTGGAGCTGCCGCGGCTGGCGGCGCCTCTGGCGTTGCTGAAGCTGCTGCCGCCCCTGACCCGGATGACGATGCCTCTGTTGGTACCTCCACCACTGGGGACGTCCTGGGATCAGGACCTCCTCCTCGAGGTCGCTTAGATGCTGGACCTTCGTGTCCGTCTCCGTCCTCCGCGTCGTCGTCGACGTCCATGTCCGAGTCGCCCGGTGCGTCGGACGGGGGTTGCTGTGAGCTAATGCCGTGGTAGTGCGTCACGCCCGTCCTCCGCATGCTGCCCAGTGCATCCTTGGCCTGGGTCAGGTTCTTGAGTAGAACGCACCCTTGATCACTCGCGTCTGGCCGAACGTGTTCGGGTGCACACCGTAGTAGCTGCGTGCCGTGAACGATCCAGTAGATGCGTGGTCCGCTCTCGCCCTGGCGCATCTCCTTGAACACTGCGACTGCGGGGCCCTTCCACTTGTTATTGATGAGCTTGTTGGTCTTGCCCTCGCGCCAGTAGCAACGCCGCTGGCCGATGGAAAGGTCGCGCTTGAGCGCCCCATGTCGCCGTAAGAGTGCGCGTCGTAGTTTGGCTGAAGCGCCCGCCTTCCTCAAAGCTAACGCCGCCATAGACCTCCTCTCCAGCGCGTCCTTGAAGTCCTCGTCCCCCTTCATCTGGCGCAGGGTCGCTGGTGAGAACTTGGCGCTGGAATTGGTCATTGTCGTAATGGGGGTCCATGCCCAGAACCCACTGGCATGGTGAGTACCCTTTCGTGAACTCCAGTCGGTTGACCTGGTGGGGCACGTAGATGCACGCCTCGGTGATCAGCTCCTCGTCGAGCGCCGCGTTGGCCGTGCGCTCAATCGCGCCCTGGCAGTAGAGCCCGATCGCCTCTCGAACCACCTGATGACGTCGCTCCACCACTCCGAGACTCGAGTGAGCCTGCTGCGATCACGATACTGATACTGTGTTGCTCCAGAAACTGCGTGAACTTGTCCGACGCGAAGCCCGAGCCGTCGTCGGTACGCGGCTCGCCCATGGGACCGAACTGCCTGATCCAGCCGCGCCCGACCGCCTTGATTAGTTCGTCGGCCGTCTCCGTCTTGATTGTCCGTAGGGCACAGTACCTGGCAGCACCGTCCACCATCGACAAGATTGCCGTTTTGCCTGTCGCGGTCTTGACCCAGAACACGTCGGTGTAGACGGTATCGTTGAACTTCGTCGGCTGCTTGGCTGATGCTGTGGGCGCTTTAAGCGGGCGCTGCCGCTGCATGCAGTGCTCGCAGCGATACTCAGCCGCGCAGTTGAGCACGTTATCCTGAGCTCCTGCTTGCTGTAGTAACCGATGTAGTTCCGTCGGGCTGGGGTGTCCCATGTTCCGGTGTAGCCGCTTGACGTAGCGCGACGCCTCGTTGCCGTACTTCTCGCGTAACTGCGAGTGCACGTGGACAACCTCCTCCTTCGCCGTCTCGTCCGTCGAGGTGGGGTTGCTGCCGCTGCTGACGTCCTCGCCGTTATAGATCTCCTCGACCTCGGCCTCCACCTTGACTTGTGCCAGGGTGGCTGCCAAGATGAACGGGTAGTCCTCCGTGACCTTCGCGCGCTTGACGCCGCTGCCGTCCACGTTGCCCTCCAGTACTGCGTGCTGGTGGCACCTGTCGCATCGCGCGCCCATGATAGCCGCCATGAGCTTCTTGGTGGTCCTGGTGGTGGTTGGCTTCTTGACCGGCTGATCGTCGCTCCCTGGTAGGGTGGGGCCGTGCATGCACTGGTCGAAGGAAGCTAGGTAGCCCGGTAGGTTGGACCAGGCCTTGGTCTGCCAGGCCCTCGATGTAGTTGGATGCTCCACGTGGGCACGACGTCCGCCCCCATGCTGGATGTGGTCGACGTCCGCCACGAACTGCAGCTCGGGAGCGGTAAGCGTCCGGTGATGCCAGTCGCGTAGCTCGATAAGGTACTCCTTCCAACCTGGATGTTGGTGTATGTTCAGCTCTTGCATGTTGGACCAGGGTCCGCACATCGGGGAGAAGTGAACTTCGTCTGGCTGTTCTTCGTGTAGCTTGCGCTTGAACCGCCCTCGGTGTTCGACCTTCGCGAAGTCCCAGCCCGTGTGTAGTCCGAACGTCTCGACGTCCGCTCCGAGGTCGCGTAGACTCTGAGATAACCGCGCTGCGCCTGCATAGACCTCCCAGACCTTCCGTCGCGACGTGCAGCGCTTTGCCGCTGCCCGACGCATCGTCTGCATGCGCTGGTCGCTCGCGTGCTTGATCGCCGAGCCGATCTTCTGAATGAAGTTGGTCGTGGCCTGCCCCTTGTCGCCGTCGTCGCTGCTGCGCGCGCCCTGCTCGGCGAGCTGCGCCACGTCGCTGTGGGCGTCCGCCAGGCACCAGCATGGCTCCGGCAGGGGTCGACTGGCTGGATCGGCGTCGTTGCGAAGCAAAGGTTGCCGCAGGATGCATGATTTTGGCACCGATACTGCTTCATATACTCGCCGCAGCAGTTGACCTTCACGACTCGTTGCGGGCATCCTTCTGAGTGCGCCCGCTGCGGTGCAACCTCCCACTGCCCCCCGTCGTCGCTGCTGCTGTTGTCGACCTTGTAGATTTCATCTAGAAGCTCCAGGCCGCCGATGGCCCTGTCGCCGTCCATGAACTCCCTGAAGTCGACCGGCTCGTGCTCGAAGTCGAGCTTCACGTCCTTCGTCTGGTCATCCATGTCCTCAAGCAGGTCCACCATGTGGCGGCCTTGCGGAGACGTGCGCGCCCCCTCGTAGCTGCCGCCGTTCCACGCCAGCTGCTCATTCGCAAAGTCGACCTGCACTGCGAACTTCTCCAGTAGGTAGGGGCCGCGGGAAGAGCATTGGCGCCTCCCCTGGAACGAGGTAAATGTACAGGGTTTCCGTCTCGCTCTTGAAGCTCGCTGGACTGATGCCGCACCGCAGCGCATGCCCCACCTTGCCGTTGCCGAATCGGAATGGCCTCCGACACGCGTGAAACTCCAGCGTCTCGATCGGGTAGCCCCTTGCGTGGCATGTTGTCAGGTATTCCTTGATAATCTCCGAACCTGACATAAGCGTAGTCGCGCCGCCGTCCAGGATCGCCTATTGCGCGGAAATGATGCTGGCCGTCTTGCGGTTGCCCCAGTAAACTTCGTCAACAATCATCTCTTGATCCATCTGTCCGCGGGGCCGCTTCTTCGGTGGCTCTGGGCAGTCCTTCGCCCAATGTCCCACTCCGCCGCATCGTAGACACGTCGCCTTGGATGGTGCTGGCCTCGTGGCTGCGTCCGCCCTCTCCGTCGGTCTTGGCCTCGTGTACGGATTGAATGGGCGATGTGGTGCCGAGCGTGGTGAGCCCTTCCGCCCTGGGCAGCCCCTTCCGACCAGCTCCTCGAGGGCGTCCGCGTCCTTTGGCTCCGCCCTTACTGGGAGGCCGCCTCGGCGCTGCTGATGCTGATGGTCCCGTCGCGCCTGGTACCATCGCCACTACCAGGTAGTAACCTCGCGCAAGCTTCAAGTCGTTGAAGCGCTTGCGCTCGTCGTGGTAGGCCGCGTAGACCTCGTCGTACTCCGACACGTCGAAGTCCTGCATCGTCGCAGTGTCCCGCTGATAGTAGGCCTCCTCGCAGTCGTGCCAGCTCTCGTCGCCGCCCTCGGCCCAATACTCCTGCTCGTAGCCGCCATCGAACTCTAGTTCGTCGTATTGGCCATAATATGTATTTTCTTCGTTGTCCTCTCCTATTTCGTCGTCCACGTGGTACTGCTTCCGTGCGTGACGAGGCTCGTATGCTGCACTCTCCTGTCCGAATGTCGTCTCAAGCGCCTCGATCACTTTGCCCTGTGTAATATCCTTGCCCACGATGGACATGATGACTGCCTTCTGGTCTGAACTGCAGCCGCCTCGTCGTGGGATCAGCCACCCACGAACCTTGAGCTCTTGAGCTTCCGCTCTGCTGCTCGAACTCTTGAGATGTAGCCGAACAGCGTCTCTGCTCGATTACGTCGTAACTTGTAGAAATACTCTTCCAAATCATCTGCCAACTCCGCCCGCGTGTCCATCATGAACCGCTTCCGCAAGCGTGTGAGCAGCGCTGTAGCCGCGCCAGGCTTGACCAGGTGGCCCGCTGCGAAGTCCTCGACTTCGCCCCAGGCTTCACCCGTCAGCCCGGCCGAAAACATGAGAGCCGCCTCGCCCTCCTTCTTCTCCAAAGTAAGCTTCGCTATGAACATGGTCGCCCGCTTCTCGTACTCCTTCCACCTCGACAGCGCGCCGTCGAACTGTGGAACTCCGCGTTCTGGTAGTATCGCCTGCTGGTCATCAGCTCCTCTGCCGCCTGCTTTCGCCATGATGCTAGCCTTTGCTGCGCAGGGGTCGCTGTCGCTGTCGCTGTCGCGGGGGGTGCACTGCTGCGCTCGCCGCTGCAACTGTTGCCCTGGGCCTCGCTGGAGGTCGATTCCGAGTCGCAGCTGGGGTCGAAGCCGCCTGCTGGAGCAGTGACCGTCGATCTCGAGCGGCGCACTGAATATGGAGGGCGCAGACGAGCCTGCCGAGTGATCGACAGGCCCCGCTACCAATAT